GGCAAACTATGGCCCGTTGGCCGGATCCGGCCCGTTTGAAATGAATAAAACTAAAAAAAAAAAAAGACCGTACCCTTTTATGTAATGATGTTTACTTTGAATTTATATTAGTTCACACAAACACTCCATCCATGCTTTTGTTCCGGCCCTCCAGTCCAGTTTAAGAACCCATTGTGGCCCTCGAGTCAAAAAGTTTGCCCACCCCTGGGCTAGGGGGAGAGGAGCATAAGTGTGGGGATGCGGGACATCTGTAATATTGTCAACAATAAAAAATAAATTAAGAAAAAGCAATGTTAATTTGAGAACATATGAAATTACTGTTTTATGGATCAAAAGTGATACCGTGTTGACAATTTTATACGGTTCACCCTAACACAAAGCATAGAGAACAAATATTAAAAGTACAAAGGGTACATAGGTCGCTCTCCTATTTCATTCAATCTTCTGTTTTCTCACCCCAAAGGCAATAGCTACTGCCAGTGATTTGAAAAACAATTTTATACAATTTGAGACATATTTTACACATATATTAATGTATAAACATATGGAAGCATGGTATGCACACTTTTTTAAACACATTTCTTTAGCCGCATTTCTTAGAATAATTCCAACTAACCCCTTCATGCTTTCAACCAATCCTTATGTATATTCCTGTTGTTTCCAATGTTTTGCTGCTATAAATAATACCATAATAACACATCTTTGTTATGTGCGAATATATGTACATAAATCTCTACAAGGGGAATGAATAGGCTGAAGGGCTTGAGATTGTAAATTCTGAGAAATGTTGACAAGTTTCCCTCAAAATGGGTTGCACTAATTTACATTCTCTTCAACAACGAGTTCTTCTTGCTCTGTAGTCGACACTTTATATTTGTCAATCTCATGCCTTCGCTCATGACTTGCGGACATTTGGAGGCTCTAAATAGCTCATATCAATGAACAAAGCTGAACAAAATGGTGATGCTCAGAGTGCTTCCAGTGGCTGCTGGCCCTCAGAGCATGGCCCATCTCTCCTGCATTGCCATTGAGTTTGTGGGGTAGCGCTGGGGGTGCTGATGCAAACTCATTTCCCAGACTCTAGGTCGTTGGCTTCAGGTTAGGATTAGCCAGTGGAACAGTGGGAGGGAGGAAGCCAGGACATTTTCTCTCTGTGTGTCTGGTGGCATTTCTAGCCTCTTTGGTTCTTGTTCCCCCAGAGGGTTCCTCCCTCCAGTGTCCTGGCTCCAGCTGCATGCTCTGGCCCTGGGGTCAGTCACACACCTGCTTCCTTTGTCTCTCTAGCACTGGGCTGTGAGTAGGAAGCCCCTGGCTTGAGGCTGCCTCGCTGAGCCCTTTTAGCTTTTCTAATATCATTGTAACTGGTTCCCTATCTGCAATCACCACTATTGAACTTTGTGTATTTAATTCCCACCCCCACCCCCACCACCTGAACTGGTACACCTGCGGTTGATAAAAATGAGGAGACAGGGCCACATTCTTATACTGTTGGCAGGAATATAAGTTTTGTAACTTTTTTTTTGGCAGGCAGTTTGGCAATATGCTCCAAGAGCTTTGAAAACGTGCATGCTCTTGCTCTCTGTCTTAGAGGTACAAGTTGAAATATTTACAAATGAAATGATGTGTGTCTGGGATTTGTTTCAAAACAATCCAGGGGAGAGGATAATTGGGACCTTTTCTAGGTGAAGTGAGATTGGCCATGAGTGGATAGTTGTTTAAACTGAGTGAAGGGTACTTAGACATTTACGACATTCATCTCTTTACTTATGAATGTTTGAGTTTTAAAATAATAAAAAGCTTCTTTCAGAAGCACAGTGTTGGGCCTTGCAGTCTGCTTTCTAGGAATTTTCCCTAAAGAAAAAACCCTAATGTTAAAAAAGATTTATCTTTAAGGATGGTTCCTAACAGCATTGTTTATAATAAGAAACATTAACAACAGTCTAATTTTCCAACAGTGGGATGATCCTACCTTAATTTATGTTGCTCTCTTCTCCATATCTGCCAGTCCCAGCTGTCGATTCATTTTTGGCCACATTGCTTAATAATGAAGATAAATAACCACGCATTGACCTACGGGCTAGAATCCCTAAGGAGCTTCATCAACTGGGTTTTGGGTTTGATCCCGAGTAGGGGGTGTGCAGAAGGCAGCCGATCAATGATTCTCTCTCAGCATTGATGTTTCTATCTCTCCTTCCCTCTCACCTCCTCTCTGAAATCAATAAAAATATATTTTTTAAAAAGAACATAAAAGGGACTGATGCACCCTGTTTACTCAATGGCTTGGCTCCTGCCTGAAGACCACACATGCCACTCTTCTCTCATCAAGGGAAGAAGACCGTGAGCTGTGAAGGCAGAATGGGCTTGGAGACCTATAGACCTAGGTTTCCCAGGTACAGGCTGTGCCTCTTATAGGCTTTGTGACCCCGGCAAGTTGCTCAGCTTCTCTGAGCTTCAGTTTTCTTATTTAGAAAATGAGGATGATAATATCTATGAGACAGAATTGTTGGGAGATTAAATAAGAAAATGGGCAAAGCCTCCAGCACATAATAGATGATCAATAATGGCTGTTCCTTGTTGCTTTTTGTATTAGAGAAAAAAACCTCACACTTTTTAAAGTTTACATAATTTTTTGGCCTCCCTCCAAAACCAGTCTTACACTTTGGACTTAAGACCATCATTTGTGTTGAAAACCTACTATGTGAACACTAGGTGCGACTCTAGGTGCTCAAGATGTATTGACCAATATGTGTCTTACAACAACCCTTAACCCTTTGCAGTCCAATTTTATTTTTGGAATTCAAACAGTATGGTCCAAATTAATTGACGGAATTGAATGTTGAACCGGTTTGCGGTGTCGACCTCAGCCTCGACGTTGGACCTGCTCCTAGCCCCTGGTCTGTGGAATCAGCCTCCACATTGGACCGAAAAGGATTAAAGATGGTTTCATTATCCCCATTGTTAAGATGAGCTCATTGAAGCTCAGAAGATTTAAATAATTGACCCAGGGATCTTGGTTGAGAAGCAGCAGAGAGAAACCTCTAACCCAGATCCTGCCGACCCCACTATGTTAGAAACAAGGCTCCTCCCAGTTCTGCCATCGGCCAGAGCCATGACTGACTTAGAAGAACCATTAGCTTCATGGGCTAGAAGGGACCTTAAGAGGGATTTCCCTTTGGTCTGGTCTGGTCTGTTTTCCAATGTTTACATCATCCAGACCAGAGCAGTGTTATTGTTTAATGACTCCTGGAAATATTTTCCTATTTCAAGACTATGTAGAATTAATATGTATGAGTGGGCAGGGGGGGCAAAGGGCTGACAATCTGTGTAGACTTTAAGGGAAATGCTCCTGTTGTGTGGCCAGGAGGACCATGAGGAGGGCCTGTGATGTTGGGTCCATACTCTTGGGTGTGGGGATAAGGTTTATAGGTCAGTTGTGTCCTAGAGTGAGTCTGTAATGTTTGATATTTCTGAACATGTCACGCATGACCCAGCTATTGGAATATAAACACCATAAAAAGAAGGTTAATTTTCTTTTTCGTTTGCTATTATTTCCTTCCTCTAGAACCATGCCTGGCACACAGTAGGAGCCCACAGCTTATTAATTAATGTCAGAAAACGTGTCCCCACTGTCCCCACTATTTAGAACATCCTTACCCAAAAGCGTCACCTGATTTAATGCCTCACTTAATTTAGATCTAGACTCAAAAGTCACCTCCATACATAGGCCTCCCCTAACCATCTCATCTAAGACAGGTTGTCTTCCATCACTTCTACTCCCTCCTCTTTCTTTACTTTTCCTCTTTGATGCTTGTGTATTTGTGAGCTTACCATTCATTTCCCCACTGGTAGTCCCATGGGGGCAGAGCATTCATCTTTTGTAGATCGCTGTATCCTGAGCTCCTACAGGAGTCTGATAGTCTATGCTTAATAAACTTTGTTAATTGAGTGAGTAAATGAATAAATACATGTATACGCCATGGGGAAAGGTTAGTATGGTGCCTGGACATAGAAAATGAGAGATAAATGTCGAGTTGATGAAGTTGATGATGATAATCAACTGAATCTGAGGCTGTCAACTCTGAGGCTGACAATGCTCAGTGTAGGTCCTGGTAAAATGACATTCTTCCACGCCACTGGCCATTCCTCCCTGCCACCAATCCCAAAGAGGCTCTAAAGAACAGTGCTTTTACCAACTCCGACTCCTCACTTTTTGTTCTTTATGGAATTGTGACAAGGCATTGGGGACAGTTTATTCTCTCTTCCCAGCTATAGCCTTAAAACACTTTAAGATTCTTCATACTAACATGTAAATTATTGACAGCAGTGTCATCCCTGAACCCCACTACATTCCAGCCATGTTGCCTCTCCCAACCTCTATAATTTTCTCCTGTCTTTGCCTTTATACATGCTGTTATCTGTCTACAGTGCCTCCATTCTGCCCTGTTTCCTACCTAAAGATACTCTCTCCAAATTCCAGCTCCAGTATCATCCCCTCCGTGAAGCTCAAGCTGAGTTCTTCCAGAAGCTTCTTCCTCTTCTGCTTTTTTCCTTTCCATCCTTTCCATGGAGCCTTTATCACAGGGCACTGTTCTTATGCAGATCTCTCTCCCTCAGGCTAGAAATGAGCTACTCAAGATCAGGGGTCCTGCATATGGTGGCTGGCAATGGGCAGCTCTGACTTTGCCCATAGAGGGTGTTTATCCAGCATGTGGACTTGGCTTGGAGACCTCCTAGGTTCAAATCCTGCCTACTATCTGTGAGACCCTGACAGGTGTCTCACCTCATGCCCAAGGTGTCCCACTTGAAATCAGTACAGTGAGCATCAAACACCACAGAGCAAGGCATGAAAGTGTAAAGATAGGAGTTTGGAGTGGGTCACCTTATGGGATGACTTGGGATGAATGGGGAACAGGAAATCGTTCCTTAGATATTTTTTGCACTGACACGTGGAGGCCTGCTTATGAGTTTGTTGGAACTAGATGCAGAGACACAAACAATGGTTGAAAATTTTTGAAAAATGCACAGAGCTTTATTAATTTTGTTAATTAAGCAAAAGTGCATCACACTGAAATCATCCCTCTGGCTCATTCAGCTCAAAGAGTGGTCATTACTGCTCAGATGCACACAGCTTTGTGGGCCGTGGAAACATTGCAGTCAACAACCTCTGAAAATCACACCTAAGGAAATGAATATAAAGCAAATTCCAAAAACAAAAAAATTACAAATTCTGTTGAATTCCTGCGCGCTCATAGAAATGTTCGTTTTACAGGGAACTTGGAGAGCTTTACAGCATCCTGAAGGCTTGGACATGCACCTGATGGAGCTCTGTTCTCTTTTGACCTCCTTAACATGATTCACTCTGCACCATGGTGAAGAAGAATTTGCAGAAAGAGCTCCAGGACTCCCCACAGTATTCCAGGGCTGCCTTCTTCTGGTTCATCATGTCTGGGTCCTCCAGACACTCGGGATTGATGGAGGACTCTGCTGGGCCAGCGAGGGTGTTCTCTTTGACCTTGTTAGGCTCCATGAGGGAGGCCTCATTGGTCATGGTCTGCTCCCTGGGAGAGGGCTCCATTGTCTCCTGGCTGGGTTTCTTCCCAATTAGAGTAGAGTTCACCAACTTCAGATTGGATTCTGGGAACTTCTTTCTGCACACCCTGGTCTTCAGGATGCTCTTTGAGTCCCCACAGATGACTTTCTGAGTGCGCAGGCTCCGGCCGATTTGTTTCCAATAGGCACCCTTTTTGGTCGACTCCAGGCACGAAGTTGGGTTGCCCGTAAAGGAACAGGAAAACTTGTTATCCTGTCGGGTGCAATCGACCTTCAGGACAATGCCCTCCTCCTTCTCAGTCACCACCCATCTGCAGTCGGCCTGGTCTTGGGTGACAAACTTGCCTTTGGTTAGGTGCTTGGGTGGCTGGCTTCTCTGCTCATTCCAGGGCTTGCCCAGTGTCTGTGTTTTTTCTGTGGTGGCTTTGCTGCCACCTCTTTTCTTTACTTCCTTTTTGCTCTCCACCAAGAACACCTGAGCGGCCAGAAGGAGGAAGGACAGCAAGGTGAGGCTGTGAATCCTCATGTCTTTAGTTTGGTGGGAACCTGTTTGACAAAAGGCAGGTGAGTCAATGCTGGGCAGCATTTTCACACTACAGACTGTAAGCTGACCCTCCCTCCACCCTGGTACATGCCTGCTTGCCTAGGAGTAAGTTCAAGAATCTTTCTGATTTCTGGAATTACTAGACAAGCAGTCTGTTTATTCATATTTCTGCTTGACTGGAGTCTTGAATGTGAAAATTTCCTACCCTTCATCCCTTCCTTCACCACTCTCTGAGCCCCATTCATTCACTCACTTATGCCTTCATTTGATTTTTCACTCATGCTTTTATTCACTCATTCAACAGGCATTTATGGAGCACCTACTGTATGCCACACACTAGACTAGATGTTGAATATACCAAGGTAAATAAGAAAGTTTCACATCTTAAAAACTTAGAGGCAACTCTTTGTGGATTCTAAATAGTATTGACCAGGAATCTGTCCCAATTGTGTCCCCAGCTTGATCTTGGGCAAGTCACTCTCCCTCTCTGAGTCTCAGTTATTTTATCTGGAAATCAAGGTGTTGCATGAGATAACTGCCCACTCTTCCAGCTCCGATGTGCTGGATTTCTATATCACAGTTCTACATGGAATCAGATGACCACACTATGAGAAAGGACACGGGAAATGACATGCAAAGTGATGTTTGACCCAAGGTTAAACATGCACGAGGTTCGTACACTCTGAGATGGGTGGGTTTGTGAGGAGGGGCAATTGGGGTGAAGTAAGAACCCAAGGAAAGGCATAAAGAAGGGGAGATCATTCAATTTGACTGGGAAAAGTGAACCAGGGGTAGATAGGAGTGAATTTCCACCAGAGCATTTAGACTGCTGTAGCACAATGCTGGGCATACAGAATGCCCTTAATCAATTATTTAAAAAAATAAAACAAAAAACCCCAAATCATTGAATGAATAGGATGACCTTAAATGCTACGCCAACCTACATGGATTATGTCAGGTGGGCAACAAAACTACACTGAAAAGGAAAAGAAAAATAGCATTTCTGTGCACTTGACCAGTGTCTGAGTCTCACCTTGTTGATCCACACAAGAGTGCTCCTTGGCAGGTAATAATAAATCTCTCCAGGTAACAGATGGGGCAGTTAAGTCTCAGACCGGCAAATAAATTGTTCAAGATCTCATGAAGGGCAAGTGACAAAGCTGGGACAGGCAGCCAGAACTTATCTCTCTGGTCCTTTATACCACCCTTCTCATCTTCACCTTACTCTGCCTTTCAAAAATATTGGCAAGAAATAAAAGAGCAATCATGAACAGCTCAGGATTTGGTTTGGCTTAATTCACAATGGTAAGATGATTTATATTATTGGTGCTCCGTTTTAAAAGAAAATACTGAATTTTATTTAAAAAAAAAAAAGGCTGGCCTAGGAAATGGCCCTGATCTTATTTCCAGCCTAGGCATTTTGACCTGCTATTAGGATTGAGAAAGAGGAAGGCAGTCACAGGCATGTGGGGTCCCAAAGGAAGGTGGGGCGTGAGGCTAGGTATACCAGATGAAGACCCACTCATTCCTCATGGCAATGGGACCCCTGCTAGGATCCAGACCTCAGGAACTTGAGGTTTTGGGGAAAGCTGGAAGTGGGGCAGGCAAGCACACTCTTAAAGGGCCAGGCTCTTACCTTGTTCTGAGTATGCAGATGCAGTGCAATCCCGGGTGCCAGAGCAAGTCTCATCTACAGTGCAAGGCAGGGGAGGCCCTTTTTATAGGAGCCCAGGCAGACAGGGTGTTCACAGGGCACACACCTGTGCAGCTCTCTTCACACTCCTCCCAGCCACGCCCCTTCGGAGGGAGCCAGCGCCTGCAGGGAAAGTGGTTGGTGTAAAGTGGGCGGAGGGTTACACACAGGACATTAGACCGCGCCCTCCAAGCCCTTCCTCTTCCCCCAGCAGCCAGTTTGGGAGGACAGCTCAGCCTCGCAGAGACCCTCTTTGAGGGACTCTTTGATGCAGCAATATCTCTGGAGAAAGTTATAAACAACAAAAATAATCATAGCTGCCAAGCACTGTGCTAGGTCCATTTTACCGAAATCTCTCTGTTCGTTCTCATCACATCCATTCTATGATATGGGAAGCGGTGATTCACCCCATTTTACAGATGGAAAACTGAAGCATGGAGATATTCAGGTTTTGTCCAAGGTCACACAGCCAGAAGGATGAGGAGCCCAGAGTTAAATCTGGGACTCCCTGCATCCATTGTCTGATATTTTCCTACCTGCCATTCTCAGTAAATGTTGGGTTGATGAGTGGATGAGCTGGGAAACACATCTCAGTGTCTGAGTCTCTGTTTTCACTGAGGCACCTGAAGTGACTATTGGGCAGAGGAATCCAGGGCCTCCGAATGGCTGGTAGGGAGTGAGTTCCTGATCTGGGGATTTCTGCTGAAAAAATTCACCTTCAGGTCACACATGGGATCTTCATTCTGGTCAACCTTTGATAGGCAGTCTCATACCAGAATGACAGAGCATTCACCTAACCCTTGTCACAGCTGTCACATAACCTCTCTGAACCTCTGTGTGTGCATCTACAGATTGAGGACAATCACAGTACCTCCCTTAGGTTTTCCTACTAAATTATTTATGGGCATAATGTAAATGAGGATGATTTGGTTCATAATGGGGACTCCAGCTGTATTCCTTAAAAACAGACATATTTCATTTTGATGTTAAACATAGAGAAGGAGACTCACTTGCCAAAGAAGATGTGGACCTCATTATATTTTGCCACCTCTCTTTTCATATCTGGGCACAAGAAGTTGTACTTTTCTTCTTAACTCAGCCATAAGAAGAACAATAGTACACAAATGGCAATAAATGGCAACCGACCTGCCTTTGGGGCTGAGACACTAAAGAGCAGGGGGGACTGTGGCAATCCGGGTAGGTCCTGGTAGTAAGGTCAGCACTCAGCTCCAGTTGGCTGAGAACATGTGGCATTGGGGTTGGTATTTTCAGAAGTCATAATTTTTTTTTGTATATACATTTTTTGAAACAAATGGAGAGTTCTTGAACTTTTAAGAAATGCCCCAATATCCAGATGAGAGTATATGGAATTGAGCTGCCATCTAATTGAAATTTTCTAAAAGTGCTGGCCTGGCCCACAATAAAGACACCAAAAGTCCTAATTGTGGTTGGATTCCACTCAAGCTGTGGATGTTGACTGGTTTACTCAGAGGTTCAAAGGGTCTTTACATAAATTCCATCGGAGGTGGCCATTTCCCCAACCTCTAAGCCTCTTATAAAATCAGCTCATGAAGAGATCCATCCCCATGGTTCCGACCACCATCTTATAGAACACATACTCCCCAAATAGGCACTCACAGTGTGGTGTTTTAGGAAACAGCGCCACACTTTGGCCACAGGCCAAAGACACCCCCACCTACATGTCACTGAAGTCAGCTTTGCCCACTCCCACTCTTACGTCATTTGGACGTAGACAAGATAAAGCAGCTTTGTTCCACAGGGAGATATAGATCAAGGTGGCCTCTGAAATAATGCGGAATTCATCTTGATCCTCAGGACGCAGCCAGCTTTTTTTTTTTCTGGAAGAAGACTATAGGTCAGAACACAAAGCATATTTAAAGGAAACACATGGACTCCAGGATCTTTTCTGAGAATGTTTCTCTAAGCTTTGACAGGGAACATGGGACTTCCCCCTCTGGCTTCCTGTGGACTGTCAGCCTTCCTGTGATCCCATCCCAACTTCTGCCTTGATCTTTCTATTTCAAGCAAGGGGGGCACAGTATTAGGCCAAGCCATGTAGACCTTTCCCTGTTGACTCAACCTGTCATTCCAAACTCATTTATACACACACACACACACACACACACACACACCAAAAAAAACACACACACACATACAACAACAAACAAACAAACAAACCAAACAAACAAAAAACAGCAACAATCTGGCCACACTAGGATACTCATCCACCACTTTCTGAATACTCAGTTCACTTGCCCACTTCCTGCCTTTGCTTCTCTGTTCCCCATACTTGGAATGCTTTTCCAGTCTTACTTTGTTAGGCTCACATTGGCTCATCCTTCAAGATCCAGCTCAAACAGTGACTTCATATACAGACAACATTCTTTCTATCAGTGTCATTGGTCCCTGATCTTGCCCATGCCTCCATGCTTTTATGGATGTTCATGGAGAGAAATAGACAGTCACCTGAGTAAGTGCTTACAACGCACTGGCATTGTGCTAATGTGTTTTCCCCGTACTATTTCACATCTAGGTACACTGAGAAAATTCTATACTTTTACTACAGGGCACTGGGGAAACTGGAGCCCCAGAATGACTGTTCACAGCAGGTTCCTACAACCTCCCTATACTCCCAGGATCCAGGGCATCACTGGCTCATGGACAATGGATTACATAAAGGCGCCTCACTTTGTTCACAAGAATCTGTGAAGAAAAGTCCAGCCTGGATCCTTGTGGTACAGATGTGGAGCCGAGGCTTAGGTCACCCAAGAACATGCCTGACACACAATTCAAGAAAAATTAAATTAAGGCCTTCTAATATTTGTATTAAAAAAAAAAAAAGTAAGGCTCTAACCGGTTTGGCTCAGTGGATAGAGCGTCAGCCTGTGGACTCAAGGGTCCCAGGTTCGATTCCGGTCAAGAGCATGTACCTTGGTTGCGGGCACATCCCCAGTAGGGAGCGTGCAGGAGGCAGCTGATCGATGTTTCTCTCTAATTGATGTTTCTAACTCTCTATCCCTATCCCTTCCTCTCTGTAAAAAAATCAATAAAATATATTTTTTT